TCGGCACTCTTAATCCCCACGGTATCAACGAGCGCTTTTCATTCAACTAATTTATTCTTGTTTTCTTGTCACCATATTCCCACCAATAGCTTAGCTCCTCTTTCTGCATATAAACCCACACACAACCCAAAATTCCTCCAATCGCTCTGACGAAAGGCTTACGCTCGAAACGTCAGCTTTTTTACTCTTTACGGTGGCCAATTGACGTTTTCAACTCAGTTGTTAACACTAAATTACCTGCTATACTCTGCCACACACGCAGCACCACAGTTTCTTAAGAAACTTACCCCCTTTACTTAATCTTGGTTTCAAATTTTAATTACCCTTAAGTCCATGCGTTGTAGAGGAGCCAGTTTACAGCTCATAATGGCAGGATCCATGGTATATCACGGTTGCGACGAGAAAGGGAAATGATGGCAAGATTAAGATTATGACATTTGTACACTTATTTGAGACCTGTAACCAGGACAGTTCTGCAGTTCTTGCCTTACTTAACGACGTCTTTCGACGACCGAAGGATGTCATGCCTCATTTACAATCCATTTATCTTAGACAAGACAACGCCGGGTATTACCATTACGCTTTAACCCTGGTTACAGCCAGCAACGATCAAATCCCATATGGCCATCCATTTGAATTCAGGCCACGATATAGAGTCGGTATCTCAAATGCAGGAGGCAATAGAATCATTTGAAGGTGTCCCTGGAGTAAAAGCAGTGTCGTGCAGACCTCATTTGTCTTCCATCAAAAAGCCAGTGAAATGGGATGTTGTGAGCTTTGTCAACAACGTTCAGAATGGCGAGGAAGGTGTGAGAGTATGGAGATCCGGCTACAAAATTGGAGGAGGCAAATTCATTCCTTGGATCAAGTTCCATGTTCCTGACCAGGACGAAGTTCCAACACTTGAATGCAGTGCAGCAAGCGAAAACATAAAAGCTAATTTTGTTCCTATCAAGCCGAGGCGATCTGACTTTGCTAAAACATCTCAAAAGCACAAAGACAGCACTGATGAAGGTACCGATGATTCAAGTGAAGAATCGCGCGATTCCACAAATAAAAAATTTTTTTCTGCTCGGAAGAGGGTTGCATTAAGTCCTATCAACGCCATTCGTCATTACAGAAGCTCTCGAATGTGGGATACACAAATAAGTTCTTGAATATGAAACTCTTTATGACTGCGCCGTGTTAGGGTATGCCTCTAGACTGGAGAAGGGACCGAGTGCTGTGCCGCAACTGTTGGACACGGAATCCACCCGTCATCGTCCGTAGCTTCTCTTGAAATGGGATGGGCCCTAAAGCAGAGTCGTTCTCGCAATACTCGTTTCACTGATAAGCAAAAGGACTACTTGATAGCCAAGTTTGAAACTGGAGAACAAACGGGACAAAAGGCAGATGCTGCAAGTGTCACAAGATGAGGTCTGAGAAAGACGAAAACGGCGAGCAGCTATTTGACTGCTCTGAGTTTCTTACAAGCAGGCAAATTTCTAGTTTTTTTCTCGTCTGCCCTCAAAGCGAAGTCTCCACCACCAAGAGGTCAAAGACAAAGAGAGAAGAAAAGGAGAGCCAGCTACAAGCAATGAGTAAAAAGGTGATGTCTGAAATTTCTATTCAGCACGCACATCCAATCTTGTACAACGATTACAGCATTTGTGAACTAGTTAAGAATTCTAAGCTTTAAAACTTTCCAATCAAAGTGTTAAATGACATTTGTACTTCTTTCGGACTCGATAATTCCCAGTTCGACGTTAAGAGGAAGAAGCCGTATGTCGATATTCTAACAAGCCTTGTCATGGACTGCCAATGTCAGGCAAATGGGGAATATATGACAATGTTTGATGGTCCCTGCAGCTGCCGTTAGTTGTGAATTTTTTGGTGTACAGTCCTGCTGACACAGTTTCGCAACTGTATTTTTACCGAATAAAGAAGCTGAAATTTGTTAGAAGCGCCGAAAAGGTTATTTTCTGTTAAGAGCAGCGACAGTTAAGACAAGCGATATTGAATCTTTCGCGGTTAATCAGTAAGTTTTGTAAATTTAATTGTCTTGCCTATACGTCACAAAGAGAACAGACATTGCGGTAATTAAAAATTGTTTTCACTTCAGCAGAAAAAATCAACTTGGGTAAAAATAAAGGCAAAATCAGAGCCAAATGGATATTTAGACTTGCTTTTTCTTTTTCAAGTAATTGTGCTTATTTTAAAAAATGACCGTCGAGCGACCATAACTGCAATTATGCTAATTGGGTCATGCAAGCCCTCACTTAGTCCACCTAACTCTTGCAAAAACCTCCCTTTGAAAACTCTGTTGGTTTTTATCGAGTGCTAGTTAAAAGGCACGGGTAAGCACATAGAGAAAGTTAAACAATGGGCAGAAACTTAAGATTCGTATGCAAGAGAACAGCAAAGTTTTTAATCGTATATTATAATAAAGATCGGATATAACGCGCGCTGTCATTGGTTGAAACAGCGTGCTCTATGAGAGTATAGAGCATAGAACTGAGCTAAAGCTGTCACGCCATCTGCCATATTGTAGCATGTTCGACCTTTTTCGGGACTTCTTTTTAGCTTTTTTCCGATAATTGAAGGTGAAATTTCGGAACAAGCGAGCCGGCAAGTAGCAACAGAAGAACCAAACAAAACGTTTGTAAACATACCAGGCGCCGTGATTTACGTTATTAAAACTTGAGCAGATACGAAAATCCTCAAAGGAAAAACAAAATAGTCATTCCGAGTTCAAAGATTTTCACGCTCAGTTAGATTGCAAGCTTACGTACGGTAATAAAAATCAAACACAGCTAACACTCGTATAGTATATAAAGTTCAGTGTTCAAAAACAAAACAGAAAAAAAACAGAAATGATGAAAAATATAACCAAACTGGCATAATTGTTAAAAATTCATACTAATCATGACGGTGTCTGAGCGAATATGATCGTGCTGAAGTTCATCGCGGCTCGCTCATCTCCAGTCATCACAATAAAGCAAGCCTCAGAAACTGCATCGGCCGCCCTCCGAGTGAAAAAAATAAGAGCTTGCTCTGATATCCTTTCCGATACGTTGAGTGGAAAGTCACATCAGTCACTGCAGCCGAGTTTTGCGGCGCTGTCATCCCGCGCGATCTTCATGTTCTGGTGAATTCGGCTGTCTTTCATTCGACAAGCACTCGCCTTGAACAGTTTGTTTTCTACCTTGTCATGTGAAAAAACTCACGTGTTTTTATGAGCCATAATTCGGCTGAAGTTCACTGATCATTTCACTTCAAGATTCTGTATTAGAGACTTAAAAACTTCAAGCAAAAGTGAGTGTTAAATTAAACTCAAGAAGTGGGAAGAAACACTCGACTACGTCTCGTGTTTCTCCCTACACTTCTTTCGTGCTCTAGCCGCTTCCTGCGTGCTTTATAACAGAACAGAGCACAGTCAAGGCTTCTCTATTTGTTAACCGTTACTGGCACTGGTGCATAATCGTACTAGACAGAACGATGACGGAACATCTCTTCAGAAACAAACTTCAAATGATAAAAGGCAAAGTAATTAAACAAAACTGGTTATAGCTATGTCATTTGTTTCTGAAAAAGTTCTACTGTTCGATCCGAAGTCATTTCGAAGGCAGGAATGCTCCTTAACTCTTTGGTCACGCAATCAACATATTGCGTGATTTTATGTCTTCCGTGTGCTACTTAGTTTAGAGTTTCCTGCGTCGCGAGTAAACATTTGCCCAAAGAAAACTTTACGTCATTTTGAAGATCATTCCTTCAGAAAGTTACATACGTAATTTTTTGGAATTCTGAATTATGGCACATGGTGAACAAAGAGGTTTTCTTCACCGACATTTTTTTGTAACGGAAGAGAGCACATTGCTTTTTCGCATGGCCAAAAGCTTCTAAGCAACCAATTCCTTCATAACTTACATTTTACAGAATACAAAGAGTCTATGAAAGAACTCACGTTGGTTAGATTTCCCTAGACGTAATATCTTTGAAATGCGAAGCGAGCGAAAGTGTTCAATTTTCGACCTGTTATGACCCGATTCATCGATTCCAGAGGATGAAAGCGAAAAGTTCGTTTTTCTCGAAAATTAAAATACATTTGAGGAAAAAAAATACACAGCCTTTCTTGTCTTACTAGGGTCTACTTGTGTGCAAAAATTGAGACAATTTGAATTTTTGACCCTTGCCATAAAAATGTCGTTTTTGTTTGATTTTTGCACGGATGTCCTCTTAACTATCGCTGGTGACCAATTCCGCATTTTTCTGGCATCAATTTTGTTTGCATATGCGAGCACATCTGTCTGACTGGTTACAATGAGTTGTTCTAAGGGAAAAGTATTAAAATAGCTATAAATGTTTACACAAAAACAACATCAAGAAATTTCGTGGTAATTGACTACTCCTTTTGTCAGGCTGCAAGAGTCGTTATTGAAAAAACATCCTTCTCGTGTTGCACCACACATATTTGTAAGGGACTAATAGAGATCCTATCACATCCTTGAAGCATTAAAATTGTTAAGATTGAGGTGGCAGGATTCAAATCCTATATCCCAACTCGCACATGTTCCAAAACACAGTTTCAAATGTTAATAGAAATCCTATTTAGACTATTATAAATCCCACTGTTTAAAAAAGAAAATGGTGGTATGGATGCAAATTGCGTTACGTTAATCTAATTTACTGCGACCATATCATCACCCAATCCGAAGTAATACATCAATCCCAAAACATTTTTAAAAAGTTTACCTTTATTATCAATTCACAGTTTTATAATTAACCAGAAATCCGATTTCAATCGTTACACGAAGGCGCGCCATAAAAGGAGAGGTGCCTTAGGTCCTCTGTATCATTTGTCAATCAACCGTCGTGGCATACACTCCAAAACAGCTTGAGCTGCAGCCAATGCAAGGCACTGACCAGAGGCGCATTTCTCGGTAAATTTCTACGTTTTCATCACAATGGAAGAATTTTTTGAGGTTTGTAGTACCTTCTTCCGATCGAAACCTTTTTCATTTGTGGCGGTAAATTTGAAATTCGAAATGATTCGCTTCGCCATCGCCTAAAATTGCCATGGCGTAATTTCATGTCTGTTCTTAAATACTGGATGTAGATGACCGTTAGAATAAAAAGAAAAGATGAAGAAATGTTCAAGGCATTTCTTCAATAATGCCAAGGGGAAGTGCTGTTAACCCAACGGAAGAAAAATAAAAGCAGAGCGACCATTGCAGGCGAAGTTCTGGAGCGCGCGAGTGAACCGCCGCCAACCACCGATTCACTCGGACATGTCCAGGCATCGATGTCGCCAAATGAATCATCTGTACGGGCTTCCTCCACAAATGGTGCGATTTATTTTTCTTTTTTTTTTAATCTAAGTATAATATGATTACAACAATACTGAATGATCTTTAACCTTTGGAACAATACATTAGAAAGGTAACTTAGGACTACAGTTCGATACCAACAATCACTGTGATAATGTATCACCAAGATCGAAACACTCGCGTAACGCAATAATTTTCTAGAGGTAACTAATTGCAGATTTTTTTCTAACTAGGAAATACTAGTTAGAATATACTTGCAAACCACAGATTTTTTTCGTATGATGCGACAGTTCATGTCTAACACTGCTTCCTTTTGATGCCTTCATTTTCCGAAATGCAGCCTTGCGTGACACCTACGAAACGTTTTGTCCTGCCTAAGAATGTTTTGTCCTGCCTTAGAATGTTTTGTCCTGCCTAAGAATGTTTTGTCCTGCCTAAGAATGTTTTGTCCCGCCTTAGAATGTTTTGTCCCGCATAAGAATGTTTTGTCCCGCCTAAGAATGTTTTGTCCCGCCTAAGAATGTTTTGTCCCGCCTTAGAATGTTTTGTCCCGCCTAAGAATGTTTTGTCCCGCCTAAGAATGTTTTGTCCCGCCTAAGAATGTTTTGTCCCGCCTAAGAATGTTTTGTCCCGCCTAAGAATGTTTTGTCCCGCCTAAGAATGTTTTGTCCCGCCTAAGAATGTTTTGTCCCGCCTAAGAATGTTTTGTCCCGCCTAAGAATGTTTTGTCCCGCCTAAGAATGTTTTGTCCCCCTAAGAAGAATGTTTTGTCCCGCCTAAGAATGTTTTGTCCCGCCTAAGAATGTTTTGTCCCGCCTAAGATGTTTTGTCCCGCCTAAGAATTTTTGTCCCGCCTAAGAATGTTTTGTCCCGCCTAAGAATGTTTTGTCCCGCCTAAGAATGTTTTGTCCCGCCTAAGAATGTTTTGTCCCGCCTAAGAATGTTTTGTCCCGCCTAAGAATGTTTTTTTGTCCCGCCTAAGAATGTTTTGTCCCGCCTAAGAATGTTTTGTCCCGCCTAAGAATGTTTTGTCCCGCCTAAGAATGTTTTGTCCCGCCTAAGAATGTTTTGTCCCGCCTAAGAATGTTTTGTCCCGCCTAAGAATGTTTTGTCCCGCCTAAGAATGTTTTGTCCTGCCTAAGAATGTTTTGTCCCGCCTAAGAATGTTTTGTCCCGCCTAAGAATGTTTTGTCCCGCCTAAGAATGTTTTGTCCCGCCTAAGAATGTTTTGTCCTGCCTAAGAATGTTTTGTCCCGCCTAAGAATGTTTTGTCCCGCATAAGAATGTTTTGTCCCGCCTAAGAATGTTTTGTCCCGCCTAAGAATGTTTTGTCCCGCCTAAGAATGTTTTGTCCCGCCTAAGAATGTTTTGTCCCGCCTAAGAATGTTTTGTCCCGCCTAAGAATGTTTTGTCCCGCCTAAGAATGTTTTGTCCCGCCTAAGAATGTTTTGTCCCGCCTAAGAATGTTTTGTCCTGCCTAAGAATGTTTTGTCCTGCCTAAGAATGTTTTGTCCTGCCTAAGAATGTTTTGTCCTGCCTAAGAATGTTTTGTCCTGCCTAAGAATGTTTTGTCCTGCCTAAGAATGTTTTGTCCTGCATAAGAATGTTTTGTCCTGCCTAAGAATGTTTTGTCCTGCATAAGAATGTTTTGTCCTGCCTAAGAATGTTTTGTCCTGCATAAGAATGTTTTGTCCTGCCTAAGAATGTTTTGTCCTGCATAAGAATGTTTTGTCCTGCCTAAGAATGTTTTGTCCTGCCTAAGAATGTTTTGTCCTGCATAAGAATGTTTTGTCCCGCCTAAGAATGTTTTGTCCTGCCTAAGAATGTTTTGTTCTGCATAAGAATGTTTTGTCCTGCCTAAGAATGTTTTGTCCTGCATAAGAATGTTTTGTCCTGCATAAGAATGTTTTGTCCTGCCTAAGAATGTTTTGTCCCGCCTAAGAATGTTTTGTCCTGACTAAGAATGTTTTGTCCTGCCTAAGAATGTTTTGTCCTGCATAAGAATGTTTTGTCCTGTCTAAGAATGTTTTGTCCTGCATAAGAATGTTTTGTCCTGCATAAGAATGTTTTGTCCTGCATAAGAATGTTTTGTCCTGTCTAAGAATGTTTTGTCCTGCCTAAGAATATTTTGAAAGGAGTTATTTCTTTAGAACGACAAGTTATATTTATTGCGATATTTTATGCTACACCATGGGCATACGTGTCAATTAAACATGAAAAAATGTACATAAAAAATTGTCCAAAATAAAATGTAGGCGGGAAGACTAGTTGTACGATCATATCATACTTCATGACCGTTCAGTTGCGCTTTCGCTCTAACAGTTATTTCACTTTGTCTCCACAATAGCCGATGCAAGAGGGGACGAGTTCGAAATGTGTATTTACTGTTGGCAAACGCCATGTGTAACGACCGACAGTCGCGAATACCTTGGCTATCGCGAAGCACATATTCAAAATCACGTGCGACGTAGAAAAGATTAGAAAACGTACTGGAGAGCATTGAACAAATGTGGGCTCTGGAAAGACCCTCTTTACCAGGCTAGAAAAGTCGAACTGGGGGACCACGTTAATGTAGTGCGGGAAAGGATGTCCAATTGTGTTATAAGAAATGTGAGCTCAAGGTTTCCTAACCCTCCTGGTATTGCCTACATGGGGCATAAAAGCGAATAATAAAATTCTCATACAAATGCCCACCTCAAAGAGAGCCCAAGTACCCAATTTTTTTTTATGGTACATTTTACAATGTCCACACAGCAAATTATAGTGACTTTCCTATAGGTTAGGAAAAGATATACAGTGCAAAGAAAAGTAACAGGAGGAAACAGAGAATGAGTCTGCTTGGAAATACCTTGTGTCAAACCTAATATTCATGTTTTCATTGCTTGGTACCAGCAGTTGTTAGAATTGGTCCTCCCTAATGACCTCACATATTAATACTGAACATTTGGGCTCCTAGTTGTAATTATCACAGAAACTGTGGTGCAATGGAAAACAGAAGAGACATCATTTGTTTATATTAAAAAAGGTAGACCAGATAGTTTCTCTGAAATTAAATGTCTTTGAAGTAAGCACCCTGGTCTCTGCCAAGCGGTTTGGATGCCTGGTATGTTGGTACATCTGTAGAGATGATGCTTCTCGATTCACATTTTCATTCTGTAAGACAAATGAGTCAATGAGCAAGAGAAGGCAGTGAATCCAAAAAGTGCCAAAGTAATTGAGCAGAATTAACAACATAAGTTTCTTACCCAATCAAGAATGGCTAACTCCATGCACATGTTGTATGTGTCATCCCCATAATGAATCCGCTTTGCAGCATAAATGAGCATCACTGAATGGAGAGACTCAATCCAATAATGTTTCCCTGCACTGAAGAAGGCAACAAATTATGGGTAATTTTTCTTTAACTGGAAAATGAATTTGTTCAACTCATTTATGGCCCTTACCTCAACATCATTAATTTGGAAGAAGAGATAAACTTCTTCATGCAAAGAAACATAAACATACAGCATGCGTCAATTAATTACCCGCATGTAGTCCGATGCATGCCTATAAATTGAAGTGCCCATAATGACTTCCCTGCATGTGGCTACTACTTCAGGTTTAGTTAAAAGTTTTTTGCTCATCACATAGCCATTCTGCTTGCACTTTGACTCCGCATGGCATCTGACATGATTTCCCTGAGTAATAAATACACCAAGTTATAGAAAAATAGATTAATAAATCAGTACTAATAATTATAGTAAGTATAATGTCTCTTGTTCAACATTATTAAATGTTCAACAGTGTACCCTGAAATTCTTCTTCGTTGGGTGGACTGTTCTTCATGCAGAAGTACACAAGAGTCCTTGTACTTTTCACTGTAAAATATTCACAATTATTATATTCCATTGTATTCATCTTATATCACGAAGGAATTTGACATCTGTAGATAATTGTGGAGAGAATATAGCTTTTGATGACTCTCATAAGAGAGATATCTTACCTTTGTCGAACAATCCAAAAAAAAACACTTTGAGCCCTCATCCCACTGGGTCCCTGAGGTAACTTCCTTCATTGCTTTAGTTACAGACTTTGCACCTGAAAATAAAAAATAAAATATATTAATACCAATAAAATGCTAACTTTCAAGAAATAGTCATAATCATCAAGATAAAACTGAGCCAAAAAATACAAGTGTGTACTGAGTATCATGCCAAGAGTCAAAGGAATTAAGCATTCCTTTTGACAAGATCCATATTTTTAGCTGTAATACAAAGTCATATGCCACCTCTGCAACATGGAACCCTGAAAAAAGAATTACTTTAGCTGCATTATAAAAGATACTTCTGATCTCTATATTTGTATTACATATGTGATATGATATTATTGAGGATGCAAATTTATCATACCTTGTGTCTCAGAGAGATAAGTCAGCAGCTCTTTTGTCATAGGGACCTCACAGCTTACTGCTGAAGTTTCATTGGCCCTACTCCAGTTGACAACTGCTAACACCTTTTTGGTCCTAAAGATAATCAGTGCAAATGAAATGATTTTAGGAATGGTGTTGAACATACCAGAGGTTCAACATATCATACAAAGAGATCAAGTAGAAACCATCTTACAAGAAAGAAAGGGCTGACACTGTTGTGTGTGCTGCTGATTGACTGGAATCATGCCTTGCATCTGTTATAACAAACTGTAGGAAGAAATGGTAGAAATCAAGACATAAAAATGGTCACATTTCTCTACTCACAGATATTTTCAAGGTTTACAATCTGATATAAGATTTTATATCTTTGTATGTGCCAGTCTACATAATATATTCCGAGTATGGCAGGTGTATGAGTATGTGGCCAAAGACAAAATGAAATTAAAATGACAATTTGTACCTCTCCATTCACAGCATATGCAGGGTTACTCTTCACTTGTTCTTGAGCAGCCAACATCAAATCATTGGAGACCCTCTTCACGACTGTCAAGTAACTGAGCTTTTTCAAGACTTTCGAAGTGATTAAAAATAGAAGTATTTTAGAATTGTATCTGGTAAGGCACAAACCAAAGAAGGAACAGCTCAGTCAGTTTGAGCTATCTTGGTAAAACATTCATGATTTAGCAACCTGCAAACTGTTGTTGACTGCCTTCTCCTTGCAAGGAGAAAGACTACATGATTTTCAGAGCATCTGAGCATGTGCATTGCTAACCTGTGTTGGAGGTCTTTTCTCCCTCTGACCCGATGTTGGCTGCTTGACAGAAACTCGTGTATTCTGTCTCTGTCAAGCCACAGGACAATACTCCATGAATCAATCTATGAAAGAGAGACAGAGAAGTGACCAGTTACAAAAAAAAAAAAACAGTAAAATACCGAGATAACAAATTTCAGTAAATTTCAAGCAAAAATAAGAGTGCTCACCTCAAATTTACATAGTACTTTGGAGGAGATCCTCCCATGATAGGGGAGGAGAGCCACTTGAAAGAATCTCCACCAACACATGAAATTGTCATTGACACTACATGACTCTGTCGATTGAAGGCAAGTGACTCACAACCGAGGGGTTTTCCACAATAACAACATGATGTCGTTAGCGTATTAGAGAAAAAAAGAAAACAGAGTTCGCGGAGATTCTTCACTGCAGAGATATAAGGAGTCGTTCTCTGCTAAAGATGCAGTAATTTGCATTATTTGTGGCGTACGTTATGCTTGTGGAGGAGAAATTGTAGGATTGTAAAAGGATCAGCAAAAGGCAAAGAAATACGCGAAGATGGAGTAGAAGAAGCTGAAGGAATTGAAAACCGTGCAGTTGTGGATGGTGTATTTCGGACTTCCCGTTGATGATAAGCTCAGATCGCTCGATGTCAGTCATTTCCTCTCAATTTTCTCCTCAAAAGCTAACAGAAGAGTTTCCATCAAATCTGCATTCTGTGTGCTTGTCGTCGCTTTTGTAAGATTCAACGAGCCTTTGGCCATCTTTATGCGGTCTTTGATGCCGAGAAGTCTACCCTCCTGAGTTCGAGGAACTTCTATGTTGAACGAGAACTGTGGACCTCGATCCGTTGGATGCTATTTCTTGGGTACAGATGGCTTATTTCCCTCAGCCATAAGGAATAAATTTCCCAATAAATATATCTTTCGAGCAGCGACAGCCAAGACTATTCCCCAAACTGAACTAGAGTTGTGAAATACTATCTCAAAATTTAGAGATTTTGTCACAGAATTGTCACAGGTAACAATAGTCTGAGCATTGCGCATAGAATATGTCATGAATCCGCTAGTTTCAATGGGAATAATCTGAAGGCTCGAAGAACCAGTGTGTATTAGGGGCTTGGGACAAAAGCCGAAGTTACACGGCGCGAATTTTGAAAAGACAACTGTGCGAGTGTCTCGTCGACCGCAGATAGCGCTTTGAGCGGCCAAACGATAAGTTAGTGGCAATTAATATCAAAATGAGCTCAATTATGGGAATGAGAGTCAACAAGACGCAATATCTTCTAATTTATTGACACAAAAAAAACACTTAAAGTGTGTCTTCTATGTAGACCGTTTCACTCATGGTTGGAACGTTGGTCGCCATATTGGATGATTATTGCATTTAAGCTGAAACAAAGGGGAGGAGCCAACCTATTTGTAACGCGCCTTCGTGTTAAAATTCACCTTTCACAAAGCCTTTCCCTAACGCAAGCAATCATCAGGAAAAAAAAATCAATTCGGACTTTTTTTCCATAAAATGAATGTTCAAAATTAACATTCCCACCTCCCCCCTCCCACTTAGAGAACACACTGTTTGGTCAAAAAGAGATTTTTTTTTTATTAAACTTGAATCATCTACAAACAGTATTATGTCAAAACTAAGGTTCTCTTCTTTGCGCAAGTGTAGGCTGTGTATTTTTTAAAAAAAATTAATTTCTTTGGAGCTGCCGATGTTAATTTAAAGAAAGGCACCATTCTCGCAGGCGAGCCGCAATTTTAAACCAAATCCTCTGACTCTTCCCTTCCGGCCACTTAAGCGATAAATGATGACCGGTAACTAAGGTCTCGAAGGATTTGGCCGAAATTCCAAGGGTCTCCCTCAGTAGAAGAGGAGTCTGGAAAGAAGTCAAGAGTTCATTTCTATTCCTACAGATGTACTTTGCAAACTCTGTAAGTCTTAAAACTTCATGAGATGATTAATTTGCTTTATTGTCTTTCTTAATATCGTTTACGTAGGTATTTACATGACAATCAGATAGCAGAGCTACCACGTGGAGTCTTCAGCTACAACACCAAGTTGATTGAACTGTAAGTAAATAACATTTATTGCTTATCCCATGAGACTGATTTTTAAGAAGCTTATACAGACCCAGTCACACGTGTAAACTATAGCATTGGTAATGTTGGGACTCAAATCCAATATCTCAGCTCACGTACTTACTAAACCTTGGTTTCAAATTTCAATTGCCCTTAAGTCCATGCGTTGCAGAGGGGCCAGTTTACACTCCATAATGGCAGGATCCAAATCCTATATCCCAACTGGCATATTTGCCAAGACCCCGTTCAAATTTTAATAGAAATCCCATCGCCGTTGTTATTAGTGGGAGTGAGATTCAGTTTCTATTAAAATTTTATTAATCCCACTAGCTTCAAAAGGGGTTCAGAGAGACGATATTTGCTTCAGTTACATTCTGGTCATTGTGCTTCAAATGTTTTTTTTAAGTGCGTATAACAAAACATTTAGAAACATTTTATTGTCGAAACGAAGGCTCATTTTACTGCGTGACTTTTCGATATGAATTTGTGATGAAATGAGTTTACTTTGACTTGCGGATTAAAATCAAATAAAGACATGATCCTCGCAGGTGAGCTGCAATTTTACTAATCACAGAAAAGTTGACTAAAACAAAAAGTTCAGGCTCGGACGAGATTCGAACCCAGGCCATTACATTTCAAGACTAATAGTGGAACAAAATTTTCCTAATTATCTTTTTTGATTTTCTTGGACCTTAGCACTAAAAAAACAAATAGTAGATGTGGAATTTTTTGCCGTACATTTCCAATACGCATCAGTAGATTCCCATGGGAAACGTAGTTTTCCGTAGATAGGCAAAATTATATTCTTAAAGCCATAAAGCGAAACAGCTAATACCAAGTGCGAATCAATTACAGCGACTTACGGCGTTTTATTTAAGCAAATGAAGCAAGCGTGGTACATAGCTAAATATGCCTCGTTTTTTTAAAGCCATGGAGCGGAACAGCCCATATCAAACGCGAATGACTTGAAAGATACCTCGTTCTTCAGACGCGGAATACTTCAAATATCGTTTTTAAGCCTTAAAAAAAAAAAAACGCGCTTAACACAAAAAATATGAAGTATAGTATACGGGATATATGCCTCGTTCTTAAAGTACTGAACTATTAAACAGCCCATTTCAAGCACGAATGACTTAAAAGATGCTTCGTTCTTCAAGCGCGGAATACTTAAATTCTCGTTCTTTAAGCCTTAAAAAAAAAAAAAAAAAAAAAAAAAAAAGACACTTAACACAGAAATATGAAGTACAGTATACGGGAAATATGCCTCCTTCTGAAAGCCCTGACGGAAAACAGCCCATAAACAGAAATATGAAATTGCACAATGCCAGTCACCAGAGATCACTCTCTCAAAGTATGTCTGCATTTTCCTGCATTCCTTTTATTTTACTGACAATCGATACGTCGAGTAGTTGGAGAATTGAAAAGTTGCGGTCGAGTTATTCTTCCGAGTCAGCTTAATGAAAGGTATTGCATAAAAAAAAAAAAATAAATAAATAAAATAAAATAGAATAAAAACGTTCACTTTCTTCATTTGGTCAATTTCACAAAATTCCGTCCATTTTGCATATGCTACTAGTCTGTTTCAAGAGGGAAAATTTGTCAAAATCGTGGGTATCGGTCTTTTTAACCTCTCGAGTTCGCGCCCCTTTTCGTCCAAATAGAGTTTGAAGTGTCTTCAGCGGTCCTGCAGCCGAGGTTTAGTCAAGTAACCATTAAATCAGTACCTTTTTTCGGTTTATCGAATTCACGATCGCGTCAAATTTATCACTACCCTACATCACTCAAGGGTATCGTTTCATACTGCCCAGAAGTCCAG